GGGGGCGGGGTGCCCCTGTGTGTGCGGCCGCGCCTGCTGTGCGTCCCCCGAGCGGCCCCGGGTGGGGGGATAAGGGGAGGCCCCGGCCCGGCCGGCCTCCCCAGCCGCGGCCCCTGATTTGCATCTCCTTCCAAGACTCTCCCTCTTGGTTTTTGCTGCATTTCGCTCCCCTCCTCTCCCCCCCCCCACCGCGACTCCTTTCGAAGTCCGGTTTTTTGTTTGGCGCACTTCACAGTCTGCCAGATCCCCCCCCCCACAGCCAAGATGACTGACGGTACCGCTCAGGGCTCCAAGGTCAAGGTGCGTACGCGGGCTGTGCCACTCTCCTCCGTCTCTTTGCACGACGATGGCAGCACACACACACACACGGCCACACAGTGTGACCATGTGTCCACGTGTGTGTGTGTGTGTGTGCTGGCCCTTTCGCCCTCCGCGCGCGCGCGCCGCGCCGTCTCTGCTTCGCGCACGCCGTGCCTGCATCCCCCCCCCCTGTCCCCCGCCCGCCGCCCGCCTCCCCCCGCCCCGCAGGACATGTCCCTCGCCGAGTTCGGCCGCCTCGAGATCAACCTCGCCGAGGTCGAGATGCCCGGTCTGATGGCCTCCCGTGAGGAGTTCGGCCCCAGCAAGCCCCTCGCCGGTGCCCGCGTCATGGGCTCCCTGCACATGACCGTCCAGACCGCCGTCCTCATCGAGACCCTGCAGGCTCTCGGTGCCGACCTGCGCTGGTGCTCTTGCAACATTTTCTCCACCCAGGACCACGCCGCCGCGGCCGTCGTCGCTGCCGGCACCTCCAAGGTCTTCGCCTGGAAGGGTGAGACCCTCGAGGAGTACTGGTGGTGCACCGAGCAGGCTCTCACCTGGCCCGATGGCGAGGGCCCCGACATCATTGTCGATGATGGTGGTGATGCCACCCTCCTGATCCACAAGGGCTACGAGTTCGAGCAGGCCTTCGAGAAGGACGGCTCCCTGCCCTGCCCCTCGACCACCACCAACGAGGAGCTCAAGATCGTGTACCGCATCATCGCCGAGTCCATCCAGAAGGACCCGAAGCGCTTCCAGAAGATGGTTGCCCGCCTGGTCGGTGTCTCCGAGGAGACCACCACCGGTGTCCACCGCCTCAAGGAGATGGCCAAGCAGGGCAAGCTCCTCTTCCCCGCCATCAACGTCAACGACTGCGTCACCAAGTCCAAGTTCGACAACATCTACGGCTGCCGCCACTCCCTCACCGACGGTATCATGCGTGCCACCGATGTCATGATCGCCGGTAAGAAGGCCCTCGTTGCCGGCTACGGCGATGTCGGCAAGGGTTCCGTCCAGGCCCTCAAGGCCGCCGGTGCCATCGTCTACGTCACCGAGATCGACCCCATCTGCGCCCTGCAGGCCTACATGGAGGGTGTCGAGGTTGTCCTGCTGGAGGACGTCGTCGACAAGGTCGACATCTTCATCACCACCACCGGCAACCGTGACATCATCATGGCCGAGCACATGGCCAAGATGAAGAACAACGCCATCGTCGGCAACATCGGCCACTTCGACAACGAGATCGACATGGCTGGTCTGCTGAGCAACCCCGGTACGTGTCGTCGTCGCCGCCGCCGCCGCCGGCTTCTCTCTCTCTTTCCTCCTCAGAGAGTGCCTCTCCCGCGCTTCCTCCTGTGTCCTGCGGGGCTGGGCGCGCGCACCCTCTTCCCCCCTCTCCCCCATGTGGCACATGTGATGCTGACCTTCTGCCCCGCCCCCCCCCCCGCCCCCCCCCCCCCCCGCCCATACCTCGCGCCGGCCCTGTCCCCGGGGGTGCTCCGCCTCCGGCCTGCGGCGGCCCCCCCTCCCTTCGCCTCCCTGCGCGGCCCTCAATCATCATCCTCTGGCCGCGCCGGCGGCCGGGCGCGGGTTGGTGGCTGCACAACTCCTGGCCGCCGGGGGAGGGGGGGGGGGCGGCCCACAGGCCGCCTGGGCGGGCCCGCCCCGGCGAACGGCGTCCCCCCCCCGCCCCCCGCCCCCCGCCCCGTCGTTCCATCGCGCACCGCATACACACAGAGATCAAGCGCCAGAACATCAAGCCCCAGGTCGACCGCTTCATCTTCCCCGACGGCCACGGTGTCATCGTCCTGGCTGAGGGCCGCCTGCTGAACCTCGGCTGCGCCACTGGCCACCCCTCTTTCGTCATGTCCTGCTCTTTCACCAACCAGGTCCTGGCTCAGCTTGAGCTCTGGAACAACCGTGCCAACGGCAAGTACGGCAAGGACGTCTACCTGCTGCCCAAGCACCTCGACGAGAAGGTCGCCCTCCTCCACCTCGGTGTCCTTGGTGCCAAGCTCACCAAGCTCACCCCCGTTCAGTCTGAGTACCTCGGCATCGCCACCGAGGGCCCCTTCAAGCCCGACACCTACCGCTACTAAGCGACAACGTGTCCCCCCCCTGTATGCGTGTGTGTGTGTGTGCGTAGCGGCTGCTAGCCATGCCATGTGCGCGCGCCCCCTCTCCGCCGGGAGCGTGTTGTCCGCGCGCGTTCTGGTGGTGTGTGTAGCGGGCCGCGGCCGGCTTTTTCCCCCCCTCCCCCTCCCTTCTCGCTCTCTCTTGTGCATGTCTGCATGTGCGAGAGAGAGGGGCCGAAGTGGGTGTGGGGGTGTGTGAAGGCCGGCAATGCGCGTAGGCGCGCGCGCGCGAGAGGGAGGGCGAGAGGCGTGAGACCACCTTTTTGTGCCTGTCTGTGTGCATGGTGTTCTTCTCCTCCTCCTTCCTCCGTGTGTGTGCCACACGGCGCCCCTCATGCGCGTGCGCGCGTGGGGGTCTGTGGAAAATACACATACCCTACTTTCCTTCCTTCCTTCCATTCTTGCCCCCCCCCCCGGGCATCGGCCGCCGCGCTGGTTCACTTTCTGCGTCTTTGTTTTGGCACTCCCTCTCAAGTGTATGTGGGTGTGAGTGTTTGTGCGTGTAAGTGTTTGTGCGTGTCTGTGCGTGCCTGCGCGGACGCCGGGACAGGAAGGCAGAGGACATCCACCGTGGATTGTCTCCTCTTTTCATCCAACCATGCAGAGCCCCCCTTCCAAAGCGCGCCTCCCTCCCCCCGCGGCCCCCTTTTCCCCAACACCCACACGAATCCCGCAGCAAAGAGGGGACACACACACACACACACGCAGATGGAAACACGTTCATTCGATTTATCCTCACGCAAGGCAAGGAGGGGGGGAGGAGGCGGCCAAGGAGCGGGCGCTCCCGCGCGGAAAGTGCGCAGGTGTGCCTGGCCCTCGCGCCCTCCCGGGGCCGGACCGATGCCCCGGCCCCCGTTCGGCATCTCTTGCCGGGCCCCCTCCGGCACGCGCGCACGGACACGCGCGCTTAGTTGGTCTTGGACTTGGCGGAGGCCTGCCCGGCGGTGCCGAGCTTCGGGCCGTAGCCGAAGCGGATGAGGATGAAAATCGACATCAGGAAGAAGGGCGCGGTCAGGGCCATGGACACCATCTTCTGCTGGCTGTCCATGACCGAGGACTCGAACTGCGTCAGCAGGCAGGCCGCGGTGGTGGTCAGGGTGTGGGCGCCATAGGCCACCGCCGGGATGCGGATCCACTCCTTGGACTTGAGCAGGGCATACACGGCCGCCAGGCAGAAGGGCAGCTGGAAGGCCAGCTCCAGCATGAGGAACGACCGGAAGAAGGAGGGGGCCGTGGCCATCAGGACGTCGCCGGACAGGCGGAGGTACGTGTCCAGCAGGCCGCGCAGGGCCGCCGGGTAATACTGCTCCAGGAAGGCCTTGGAGAACAGCGGCTGGATGTCCACGCACACGGCGAAGAACGCGTGCGACAGGAAGAACGGCAGGAACACAAGCGTGTCATACCAGAAAGGCTTGGCCGGGTGGCTGGCCGCAGACTTGCGCATGGTGATAACGGTCTTCGGGCGGCTGGTGTGCATGCTGCGTCGTGTGTGTGTGTGTGAGGTAGAGAGAGGGGAGGGGGAAGGGTGTGGGTGCCACGCGTGTGTGTGTGTGTGTGTGTCAGGATGCGCCCGGTTGCTTTTGGGGCATACGCAGTGTGCGACAAAAGGGTGGCAAGGTACGAACCCGAAGGAGGCAGAGCAGGGTGGCGATCGGGGGGCGGCGGACGGCGGGATGGCAGGGGAGGCCCGGGCGGGATCCCCGCTCGGGGCAGGCAGCCCGCCCTTCTCAGGCGAGGCCCGGGCCCCGCTGTTCCACGCCCAGCTCCCACCGAACCTCGCTCGGACTCGCCCCCCCCCCCCTCGTCCCGGGCGCGCGGCGGTCTCGTTCCTCGGCTCCCGGTGTCCGGCCGCCCCGGGGGCGGCTCTTGCCGAGGGGAGCCGGAGCCCCGGGCGGACCGGCAGCCCCAATCGCATGGTGAGGGCCCCTGCCCCCGGCCTCGCGGCGGCCGATCCCCATGTTTGCCCGGTCTGCCGGCGGACCGGGCCGAGTTAAAGGCGCATCATTCAATTAAGACCATGGCAGGGTGCTTTGGTGCATGTATATTGTCGGCCGGCATTGGGAGATGGTAGACGGGCATGCCGGCCGGATGGCAGACACCGAGCCGTGGGCAGGGTGGATCACAAGGAGGAGAGGAAGGACTTTTCGAGGGGGGAGCCGCCGTGCACGCGCCCCATATGAGCACTAAGTCCCCGGGGGCTTGGTGGGCGGGGCCGGGGGTGGCGGCCGGCGCGGACCCGCCGAGGCCACCAGTCCGGCCGGGGGGGCCGCCGGGGCCGGGCCCCGGGGCAGAGGGGGCGGCGGCCCGCGCGAGCCGCCGCCCGGGGGGATGGGCGGGGCCGGGCGCGTCGGCGGTGTCGGCAAGACCATGCCACTGCCGGCGGCCGGGGCCGGGGAAGTCCCGAAGATGGTATCCAGCTCTCTCTGGGAAAGGGTGTGCGGCCCGGCCGGGGGGGCCCCGGGCGGCAGGAAGCGCCCTGGCGAGGGGCTACGCAGCGGGGGAGGCGCCCCGTTCGGGAAGAGGAAGGGATCATCCTCGGGCCCGTCGGCCGGCGAGAGGTCCCCCGGCCCGTGTGGAGAAGCCGGGCCACCACCGAGAATGAGATCCGCGATGTCGAAGACCCCCGGGGGCGTGGCGGCCGGCATCGACCCGGTGTGCCAGCCCTGGTCCAGGTCCAGCAGCAGGTGCCCCGCCGGCCCGGCAGGGGAGCCATCCATGCCGGCGGCCGCCCCGGGCACCGGAGCCATTGCCAGGGCCATGTCCACCGAGTCGGCCGAGTACACCGACGAGCCGGAGCTCGCCAGGAAGGGGTGCGTGCCGCTGCCGGTGGTCGACATGGAGGAGGCGTCGGTGTAGTCCTCGTCCTCCTCGTCCTCCTCCTCGGGCGCCTGGTGGCCGGCATGGGAGGCGTCGGCGTAGGCCGCCTCATCGACATCCTCGTCGTCTTCGTCCTCGTCGCGGCGCACGGCCCCGACCGGAGGCGAGGCAGCTGGCCCGGGGCTGGCCGCAAAGCCAAACAGATCCAGCAGGCCGCTGGCAGCGGGACCCGGGCCCGGGCCCGGGGTGGAGGTCTGATCCAAATCCAGGAGCTGGCCGACCGCCGGGCCCGGGGCCGGAGCCGGAGCCGGAGCCGGGCTCGCGGTTGGGACCGGGCCGGGACGCGTCAGCATGCCGGCAGCCGGCGACCCGTATGCCGAGGAAGCGGCCGAGGAGGAGGCCGAGCGCGGGCCAGGCGGTTCCGGCGCGACACTCCGGCGCCCGGAGGAGGAGACCGCCGCCGGGCGGGGCATCGGCGAGGCGGAGGCAGACGCCGGGCCGCGATAGCGTTCAGCAAGCAGGGCATCCGCTTCGGACAGCTGGAACCGGCTCTCCAGCAGGCACTGGTGCAGGGCCGCGGCGTCGGGCCCGGCCCCGGTGTCCGACCCGGCCGCCAGCACGGCATTCATCTCCTGGATGGCAGCCGCATAGGTGTCCGCCAGGAGGCCGACATTCAGCCGGAAGAGCGCGTGAATGGGCCGATGGTCGCTTTGCAGCAGCCGATCCACATGGTCATAGCCCAGGAGGACGGCCTCTTCCGGGGCGGCCGGGGCGTCCGGGGCCCCGGCCACCGGGGCCCCAGCCAGCCCGGTCGAGGGCTCCCACAGGATCCGGTCGGTCCATGCTGGGGAGCGGTTTTTCTCGCTGGTGTCATACTGCCGGGTGCCGATGTCATAGCGGTATGTGGGCGGGAAGCGCAGCGGGCCCTCCAGCACCCCGACAAAGGCACGGCCCTGGCCCTGAGACTGGCGCAGCTGGTCATACCGGGCCAGGGCATCGAAGCGCCCCTCGGCCACGGCCTGGCGGATGAAGCCATTGGAAAAGTGGGCGATCCGGTAGTTCAGATCCCCGAGCCAGAAGATGTGCCGGTGGTCGCGGTAGCCGCACGCCGGCGGGGGGGCTTCATTGCCGGGCCGGTGGACGGCATCCAGCCCGGGCAGCGCGGCGAAGCGCAGATTCCCCGCGATCACCTGGTAGTCGGCATCCCGGTCGGCGGTCTTGGACTGCCCGGCGGCCAGATGGGCGCCGATGAAGAGAAGCGACACCCCGGCCGCCGGGGCCGTCGGGTGCGGGGAGGCGAGGGAGGCCGCCCCGCGCCCGGGGCTGGCCACCGCCCCGGCCAGGTCAAAGCGCACCCCAACGCCGCCCTTGTTGCCGGCCATGCCGGAGAGGCCGGTCTAGGGCGAGCAGGCAGCAGCCGAGGAGGGAGCCGGGGGCGAGCGCGGGCAGCGACATTAGACGCCGTGCGGGAGGGGATTCCGAGGGCAAGAGAGGAAGCGGGCCGGGGGGGGGGGGGGGGGG